TCTACTTTCTTTATTTGTTCGGTAGTTTGTGAGTTTGAAGTTATATATGCTTCTTCTCTTGCGTTGTCTTGAGAATATACGATACGACCATTTGCAAGGATTTGATATCCAGCAACTGCATAGAAAAGCGTCATCGAAACCAATCCAAAATCCTGGTGGGTTTGTTTTATTGGAACCTGAACCAATTTATTTATCTACAATAAATTAACCTTCCATTTTATACGTAATGAATGTATTGTAAGGGTCCAACATATTTTCACCAGGAGGTGAGAGATTGGATGTTACCCATGTGTTATCTTTAGCAGTTCCAGGTTGTGATGGAATCTTTGCGTCAGAATATTTTCTATTAGTGTCACCAATTTGAACTGCATTGTCTATGATATCGAAATATGAGCGAATCTGATGAATATGCTCTGCTGGAGTAAATTCGTTTAGCTGTTCGTTCTGCATGTATTTACTTCAGATAAAAATATCTATTTACTTCATTATTCCACTCTTCTTCTTGGCATTCGTGGTGGAAGTTGTTTCTTGACATTTTCAATGAACTGTACATTCTCTTTTGTCTCAACTTCTTTCACTGGTGGGTCAGGTTCTTTGACTCGGTTTGTTTTTCAATGAAAATTCACGAACTTTGCAATAAACTCTTGGTTCGTTATTGAAAGTACATCTGGCTTCTTTTCTTCTTGTTCTATTGACTTTTCAGTTTGAACAAAGGCTTAACATGGGCTTCGTGGACTTCACCCTTGCCATACACCTTAATGTTGTCGCTTTCTGCATTCGCTAATGGAACCTTTCTTTTTCTTACGTATATTTTACCATCTTTACTCTGACTTACGTAATAGAAAGGATGTTGTATTCCTCTTGCGTCATTTAATATAATAGACTCTCGCTCTGATTTTGACAAGCTCATTTTACATCGGTTAAAGTTTTAATTTTGTTTTTTATCTGCAGTCAAATGACTCAGACAAGCCCTACGGACAAGACCCAAGGGGGTCATAGATGTTGAAGCATTGAAGAAAGAAATTCGTGAGCAAATTTTATCCGAACTGAAGGAAACAAAAACAAGAACAAAAGCCAGAGAGACCAAAGAGAAAACTTAGTGAAAAACAACTTGCTGCATTAGCTGCTGGAAGACAAAAGAACCCACGTTTGCTGGCGAAGAAAGCTAGAGAAGAAGCTGAAGCAAAAGCTAAAGAAGCTGAAGCAAAGAAAGAGTAAATGGTTTATTTTTATCCGAATTAAATGTATAGACAAATACCTTTATCTGTTTGCGTTCAGTAGTGAAAACCCTGACGTCAAAATAAAGGGGAACAGAGTAACGTTTAAGTTTCCAACAGACTGGATTGTGAACATAAATGAAGAGAAGTACATTGGCATAACAGCTATGTATATAACACGTGCTTTCAGAAAGGTTGACTTTATACTTCAAGTCGAGATAGAAAATGACGAACAGTCTTTAAGCGCCCAAAACATTCACATATACAAATACTTTAAAGACGATACAACATTGCAACAATGTATGATTTCATTTAATGAGATGTTCGAAAAAAGTTTAACATTGAAGTACAAACTTTACAGCCTTTACGTGAGTTTCTTGCACAACTGAAAGAAGAAGGTAGTCAGCCACAACTTATAGACTTTCATTATGAATTTAATGAAAATGCTGATGGAACTCATGACTGTCAATTCATTGTATTCTCACCATTCAATGAAGTAGCTAAAGAGAAAGAAAATCCATTACGTATAAGATTTCAAATCTCTGAACCAAGTGATGATTTCAAGAATGTTTTCAATTATGATGCAATGCTTCCGAGGAAAAATGAATTTTCCGTAATTAGATTTCCAGGTATTTGGGATAGAAAGCAAGCTATATTATATTCAAACTTAAGTAAAGGAGTTGAAAATGAGTTCATTGGTCATACAAGAACTTCACCACTTCCTAACCCTAAATACTATAAATTAACTGGCTTCAATCGTGAGTTTTGGATAGACATGTTCTCCACTCATGACCATAAAGCACCTGTTTTGCTACATCCAGACCATAAGGACTGTCTCTACATTGAAGCACAACTCTTAAACTCTACCATCGCAGTATTGTAAATGACCACATGAGCTTATTTTTATCACGAATGACCTCATTCATGACCTCATTGCTGACAAAAATAAATGACCTCAGAACTTCAACTTACGAATAAAGCTTGTTTTAGTTGTTATTGAGAAGTTAAACTTCTCTTCAAAGCAAGGTTGACATGACTTACATAAGTCAAATCCAATCTCTTGACCATCATGAAGTGCTTTGTAAAGTTTCATTAAACTGAACTCAGAGTCTTTGTCATATGTTCCAACAGGTATGTGAATGTTCTTATCTTCATTGTAATAGCATTGTATAGCTTCAGGAAACATTTCATTTGCTGTTAAAGCAAGGACGTCTTGTTTGACACCTTTGCAACGTGCATGGAATGCAACTTCATTTAAATCGTTAGTGAGTAAGTCTATGTAAGTCTTCTTTCCACAAAATATTGACTTGTATGCTAAACTTTGTTTTCCAGGTGTTATTTCTGCGAAGTCAGAATGGAACTGACCTAATGTTTTACCAATAAGTTCTCTACCGTATCTCTTCTTAAACTCTGCTGCAAGCTTTGGTATGTCTTCATTGAAAATATGCATGCTATCACAGTCCTGGTAAAATATTTGAAGTCCCATATCTTCTGCAGTACAGAATACTTCACACATTATTCTCTTCGACATAGACAGAATGTTAACACCAAGTGGACAGAAGTTAAAGTGTCTGCAAATGCTTTTCGTTAGCTTGAAAATAGTTTTATCTGAACCATCCAAACCTTCGAACTTCACTATATGGTTGTAGTTTCTGATGGCATATCTTATAGCATCTTTGTCATTTACTATGGTTATTTTTGACTCAATATGAGATAGAATAGTTTTGCCATAAATACTGTTCAGAATGAGCTTTATATTTTCTTGCAAAGGATTTCCTTCTTTCTTATACTTTAACCTTAACTCAAACAACTTCTTTACTTCATCTCTTATTCTAATATCTCTGTTTCCATCGTAATAGTATCCTTGCAACACTTCACATTTGACACCTTGATATTTTATGAGGTCTTGTAATGTTATATGGTCAACATACATTAAACAGCAAGTGTTTGAACTTCTGGGAACGTTAAGTTCTGGATTTAGTTCAGGGTCACAAACTATTAAAGGAAAGTGTCTATGTATTCCAATCTCTGTTATCTTAATGAGAACAAAGAAGCCAGACATAAACTTTTCACCAATGGGTTCCTTTTGGTCGTCATCGAATAAATGTCTCATGAGATACTCTGTGCTTAACATTTCTTCCTTCAATACTTTCGGTATACCTTCTAAAGTATAGAGTCTTGCAATTGCTGAAGGGTATAATGAAACAGCGTCGAAGTCAGCAATGAGTTTCTTTTCGCTCTTTTGTTTCATGTTATCTGACAGCATACATCTTCCACCTTGAATACAGCGTGAAATAAATTCTCTTGGTTTATTTGAGAGGTCATATAAATTTCCATTCGGGAAGTACACTCTGTTCTCAAACAATTTGTTAGCAATAGAACAAATACTAACGTAGTCATAAACGTTTAAATCAAATTCTTTCAATATGTCATTGCGGAACTTAACAAAACCTTCTCTTAAAATTCTTACATCTTGTTTGCAATAAAATGAGCTATACTTTTCTAAGTCGAAGTGGTTCTCATCTATTCTGCAACCTTTGATGGAATCTATGTTTTTCATGAATGTATCTGCATCCCGGATAAACTTACATGCTTCAGAAATGACACCAATTCTGTTGTCATTTGCTAACAAAACACTGCTGTAGTAGTTGTATGGAAATCTTCTTTCGGTCCTGTTTGTAAGTTAAACATAGCAGGAAATAGTTTAAGCTTCTTATTTATAACACTGTAAGAGTCTTTTATAATAATTGCCCTTCCTTTATATAAGCCAGTTATTTGCATTGTTCGTGAACCTTTAATGATGGGAGTTCCTTTCACTTCTGTCATGTGTCTTAAGATGAAGTTTATATCATAGCTGAGGTTATGGAAATATATTAAACTCTTGTCAGGAAGTCGTTCCAAAAATTCTGTTGCACAGTTCTGACCCCATATGCTTTCACTCACTGAACCATCTTCACTGTCGTAACAGATGTTAAAAGCTTTATGAAAGCCGTCTGTGCTACACTCAAAGTCAGCAAAGAAAACGTGCTCAGGAATGAACTTGCACTTATTTTTATTTACTTCTTTTGACTCTGCTTTCTTCTTCAGTTGTACACAATACTTTGGAGCATATGTCAAATCTTTAAATGGTGCAAGGTTCTGTTTATATAAGTCAGTCGTATATGTGAAAAGTTCTCCATAAGAAATAGGTTCGAAATATTTGCACTCCCACAATGTTTTCATAACATCCCATAACGGTGTTGTTCTATCATAACGAACTACATATTTTTCTCTCTCTTTGTATAAATCTTCATCTGTTTCTCAATGTTCATTCCACCACACTCCTTCAAGATTTCTATATAGTTGCGAATGAAATATGTTGTCATTGGTAATCTTTCATTTAGCATGTAGTGGTCTTCAACAAGAAGTAAGTCAAGAGTTCGAACAGTTTCACATTCTTTTGGTGTGTATCTCTTTATTTCATTATGTCTTGAGTCATTGAAATAACCAATGGTAACATTAAATGCTATACCTGTTGCGTCAGAAATTTCTTGTACTTTACTTTGAGGAAAGTCTCTAACACGAATGACTTCTCTCATGTGGTCAATAGTCTCTCCATCTACTCCAGCCTGAATGCAAGCATAAACGAAACAATTGTCTTCTGTCATAAGTGTTGCAGTTCTTTTGTTCAATTCATTGAAGATTTGGTAGCGCTCAAGATTTATAGGTAATGTGCAAAGATACTTCCAGAACTGACCGCTTCTCTTCTTATAAAACTTCTTTTCACCATTATCTTTCCAAAAGCTTTCTATAAGTGCTGGGTTTCCTGTTTGCTTAAGAGCTTCCAAAATGGCTTTCTGGTCATTTGTCAGTGTGCTTTCATCTCTATATGGTCTCTTTTTTGGTTTGCCTTTCTTTACATCTGACATCGTTAAGCCTTCATATTCTGTTAAATCATACATCTTTATTTCGGTAAGATTCTTTATGTTTGTCAAGAAGAAGTCATAGTGCATTTCAACAATACCTGCAGCATTTGCTTCTATCTCTGATATAAAGTTCTCCTTCAAGAGCTGATGTAGTAATGTTCCAATATTATTGAGGTTTAACGTAGAACATTCATACTTTCCACCAAGTTTATAACATACCATCCATCTTTGTTGGGAGTTTATTTTAATCTTCTCTAAGAGTCTCATGAAAACCTTACCGAAATGTTTGTGTAAGTAGTCTCTGTTTGGTTCATCTAAAGCTTCGATGTTAAAGTCAATGAGTCTATTGCCTGACTTCACATTCCTCTTCCTATTCTCTTCATCTTTCTTTAACCATCTCTCACCTTCTTTTGGTTTGTCGTCAATGGAACGAATGACATCGTTAGCTTTGCGAACTTGTTCTATAGCGCTCTTAAACATCTCTCTTCTCTGTTGTTTCAGTGTGTCGTCTCTTCTTCTTGTTTCACCAACGTTTGCATTTGTTATGTCAAACATTTCTCTTCTTACTTCATGAGGTACTGAACGTTTATGATATAAGTCAATAGCAATGTCATTTAAAGGAAATGCTCTTGCATGGACTTCGTCCTCGCCGCGTTGCGGCTTTATGAACTCATGAATTCTATCATAACTTATTGCACCATTATAGTCATTGAGGATGTCAGCGAGTGCTTTTTTGTTTGTTGCGTAATGTTTTGCTACTTCTATGTTAGCTTCTGTAAGAAGTTGTTTTATTTCCGAGTGTTCTAACTTAGACAACTTCCGATACATCTTTAGTAGGAAATAAAAAAAATATTTTTGAAAAAATTAGATTAGATTTTTTAAAGTTATTTTCAAAATAATTTAATATTTTTATTTTAATGAAACACATGCAAGATTGCAAGTTCTTTTCATACAATGCTCTCGCTACTGCCATCAAGAATGAGTTCAATAATGCTTCAAATGTTAATGTTATCTTTAACAAGAAGTTTGTGAAAGAATCTAAGTTTGGTCAGTATGTCAGACCATTAGCTATCGTCATTGACCGCAAACGTTATACTTCACAAGAGTTAGCAGTAGTTTTGAAACAAAAGAGTTTCTTCGTGAATGTCAAAGATACTCATTATACTGTTATAAAGAACTCTAATATTGACTTCTTCAGTATTGCTTTAAATCTTTCCGAACAGAAAGAATATAAGAAGGGTGAAACATCTGTGAAATATTATCCTTCATCTCTGAAGACAATAACGAACAAAGATGTTATACAGAAATTCTTACCAAAGGTTGAAGAAGCTTCTATTGACATTGACGAAGGAAGTGAAATGGTTGAAGAAATAGACCCTGAAGCTATTTAACCAAAAATATATTTTTGAAGAACTGAAGGTGTCACTACGTCACCATATCACCAGGTTAATTAACTTCTTTTAAAAATGATGACAACATGACATTTTGACAACACACCAGGATTAATGCAAAAATGAATGTTATCGTTAATGTTATCGTTAATGTTATCGTTAATGTTATCGTTTATGTTATCGTTAATGTTATCGTTAATGTTATCAGTGTCGAACATAATTGACGTAGGATTCATGACTTCTTCGTAAATGAGTGTAAATATAGCACAAAAATATATTTTAGGTGAAGAGGTGAGATCTCACCCGTTTTTTCACCTCTTTTTTCACCTCATTCTCTCTTCGTTAATGTTGTCGTGACTTCATCGTTAATGTTGTCGTGACTTCATCGTTAATGTTGCCGTGACTTCATTCTTCCTCTTTGAAGTTATCGAAATATTCTGTTATTTTTTCCTTCAGTAATGTTAAGTCTTCTTTGAATGTAAGTATTGTGCAACCTTTGATGTCATAGTGTGTTTGAGGAAGAGTATTTTTGACAATTTCCTTTATTTGCTCATTCGGTGTCATTGAAATCGGTAAGTTTTCACGATAGAACCAGTTTCTGTCAGATTTATATATTTTAGCTAAGTCATAAAAGCTCTTGTTGTTTCTTCTGACTAAATGCAACATAACCATATCTTTATCTTCTTCATTTTCCAATTCTTCAGTATAAATCATATACTTATAACTCTTTTCCTTTCCTTTTGGTACTGAACGTGGTATTCTTTTCTGTATGCTTTTGTCTTTGGATTCAATGACTTCATCTTTTGCTTGAAGTTTCTTTTCCATCTCTCCGCGTTCTGCTTTATATAGTTCATCTAACATCATGAAAATATAACAAGCATAACGAGGTGAAGCCCACATTGCTACAGCGTTTACTAAAAGTCTATGAACATAATAACCTTTCAAACCAGGAGCCAAATTCTTGCGATTTTCGTACGGAATCTCTTCTCTCGGTTTTCCGAGGAAAGCAATCATATGAGAAAATTCTTCTAAAAGTTCTTTTGTCTGTTGGTTTTCAAACCAATGATATGCTTGCTTTGTAGAACGAAGAGCATTCATTATACTTTGCATTTGGTACATGTCATCTTTGACTGAACGAATGAGACGTAACTGTTTGTTATACTGTATGTACTCGTATTCTTCATTGATGGCTTCATGAACGATAGCAGTTGTTGTGTTCTCTGATGTTGACATTACTGTCTTTACATACAAGATAAAAATTTTTGTTAGAAAAAAAATAGCGTTATTTTCTGACTTTCACAAAAGACCAAAAATAAACGCTTTACATGTATTTTTCAGCAACTTCGTCAAATAATTTTATAGCTTTATCTATCTCATCTACTTCAAACGTTTCTTTACCTTTCGTGGGAGCACCATACATTTTCTCAAAAACTTCAAGCAGTTCTGTTTCTGCGGCTCTCATATCATTAACGAACACAACCTTGACTCTATTGACTGTACTGTCATATCTTTGAGTTATATTATATGTTCTTCCTATCTTATATCTTTTTGTGTTGAAGTCCTTCGGTTTCTGAACGATGTAAAGTAAGCCTTCACTGCAACGTTCCGTATCGAATGAACCATATGTTATGAAGTTATATCCAACAACTGGGTCTAACCATAACAAAACTATTGGTATAAGACTTTTGTCTATAAATATGCTCTTGTTCCATGAAATGCTACTGATATCATGAGCTCAGGATTTCTTGTCAAAATTTTCTGAGTAGAAGCAATTCTAACCCAGTCTTTGTTTTCTTTCCAGAAGTGTTATAATGTCTGACAAAGAATATTTGTTGTATTTCTTTGAGTATCTTACGTTTAAATCACCTATTCTAACCACTTTGGTGTCATTGTCTATCTTTCTAACTGTTTCAAACTCAATGTTTGTCATTACTGTCTTACATACAAGATAAAAAAATAAATAAAAATAAAACTAACTTTATTTTTATCTTTTATGAAAATTCATGAAATTTGGTCATTTTTCAGCAAAAAATAATGTTTAGGTGAAGAGATGAGATCTCACCCGTTTTCTCACCTGTTTTCTCACCTGTTTTTTCACAAGCGTTTTACATGAATTGTACGATGTATATTTGAAATCCTAAACAGTTTCATAGCTTCTATTTCTTCTTTTAGTACATCGAATGTTTTAACGATACCGAAAGTTTCTTTATACTTCTTCTTGACGTCAGATAGAAGGAAATCTTCTGCTGTTGAATAGTTTTTATTAAGAAATGTCAACATATCCATTTTATCTTCTGCTGGCTTTTCTGCTTCTTTCTTTAAGTCTGCATAGTCGTTTCGCATTCTTTCTATCTCTTTGACTGAGTAGTTATATTTTCTTATTGCTGCTTTACATTTTGAACATTGCGGCATCGTTTTTGCGTTATACATTGAAATATAAAACCAGCTAGAACAACTAAGGCGTCAATGGTTTTCTTTAACTCAAAAGCTGCTGGTTTTATCTGTTCATTCCATACTTTACCTCTTCTATCTTTATCTCTTATCTGCCATACACATTCAGCAACTAACGAAACAAAGTTATCGTATGTCTTAAATTCTTCGGATTTGTAAAGGTCAGAAATATTTTTATAAACCATGTCGCAATCTTTGTCCATAACTTTATGGTTGCAATGATATCCTAGAAACTCATAGTTTACCTTTCGTATGAACTTCTTTATTTCTACTGAGTCAGTTGCTTTGACTTCAATTTCGTCGAATTCAGGAATAGTTAGTTTTTGCTGCTGAACTTCAGGTAGTTTAGGCAAATGGTCAATAATATCCTGCATGTCATAAAGATACTGTTCATTTGTTTCATCTTTCGCACTACAGTCTAAATTACTTGTTAAAAGTTCTTGCTTTATCTTCTGGATTTCTGTTTCAAAAGTATATGAAGAAGGAATAAAGTTTTTCATCTCTATCAACATTGACGTAGGATTCATAACTAACGAGTTTGGTGCTGTAGTTTGAATTGTTGTTGTACCGATTGTTGAAATCATATCTTTTATACAAAATAAAAAAATAAATAAAAATAAAACTAACTTTATTTTTTCTATCTTAAGGAAATTCATGAAAACATTTACGAAACATTAACGTAAACATAAACGATAAAATTTATTTCCGGGCTAGTTCTCTAAATGTCATGTTGTCATCATTTTTAAGAGAAGTTAATTAACCTGGTGACATGGTGACGTGGTGACACTGAAAACATTCATGAAAATTCATGAGGGTGAAAAAACAGGTGAAAAAACGGGTGAGATCTCACCTCTTCACCTAAACATTATTTTTGGTGTAAATTTATGAAAACATTCATGAAAATTCATGAGGGTGAAAAAACAGGTGAGAAAACGGGTGAGATCTCACCTCTTCACCTAAACATTATTTTTGGTGTAAATTTATGGTACCATTAATGATATCATGACTGTTCTCATTCATGTCTGATTTACATCTAATGAAAACGTTTAGAAGAATTTTCTTATTCTTTCTGGCTTATTTTTGTCTTTCCAGTACTCCCGCTCTAATGGTCCCAGATGTGTTGGCTTCGACTCTCTCAAGTTCTTAGATGATATAACATCTTCAACGCCTCCTTCATATCTTACTTTATAAGTGTCATCGTTTATGTTATAGCCAAGTATTTCAATAACCACTCCTCGCTTTGCTTCGTCAATGGTTTCAGCAAGTTTGCCATTACTACTTTCAACTAATTTCTGACGAGGATAAAGTGCAATAGAGTCGTCAGCAGCTTTTATAAGATATCCATTACCTTGCGTAGAGTCTACGATATAATAGTTTCTACTTAACCTTAAACGTTTCTTTGTCAACGGTTTGTCGTCAAGAACTACACGAACTTTTGTACCAGGAATGAGGGTAAATTGTGTTGAATTTCTGATATTTTGTGTTTGGCTTCGTTTCTTTTGTATATACTTTTCTTCTGTTGTTGTGTCATTGAATTTGGTGTATGTCCTGTTGTAGAATGTGTTGAGGAATTATATACTTCGAGAAAATGTTTCATTGTTTCTTCGGTAAAGTCTCGCTCTTGGTTTAAATCTCTGAAGTCCTTATGAAGGTTTATGATGCCGAGTATGTTATGGTTATGGTCTTCAGTAGTGTAGTGAGTTATGTTATGCTTAATGAGAAAATCTGTGATTTCATTGCTGAGGTATGCACTGTCTTGGTCTGATGTTAAAGTACTTGGGCTATGTTCTGCTACAAACTTTTGTAAAACTCTTAACACTTCACGAGTTCCTTTATTTTTCATTGGATATGCATATGCTTTACGAGTGTTAACATTAATGAAGATGAGGAATGGTTTATGTCCTCCTTTTCTGCTTTGAATGAGAGTGTCAAATTGGTATGCGTCAGGAGTGTTGGAGTAAATTGGTAAAAAGTAGTCGTAAGGGTTTATTTTTGTTTGATGTACAACATTTTTGTCAAAGAACCTTTTCACTTCAGCTCTGTTAGTAAATCCCCAACTCTTTGCAGCTTCATTGAACTTCTTAAATGACCTCCATGGATGTTGTTCGAATACTTCTTTCAAGCTCATTTATGTAAAGTTAAATTTAGTAATTTCATGCTGTTCGCTCTTTTGGAGCTCAGGACTTTCAGGCCGTTCTAACCCATGCATAAACCGTCATATAAGGTGGCATATAGTCTGCTCCACTTCCTGTTGGATTTGTTGTGAAAGTATGGACATGATTTCCTCCTGGTTCAGTTTGTCGAAAAGTCTTTTTGCTGAATTGTTATAAGATGGAGATAAAACATCATTGCCAGCTTTATATTCTGAGTTGTATAATGGGTGGTCTCGTAATGAGTGGCTATGGTCGCCAGAAAAGTTTGTCGTTCCTGTATGAGTGTGCGCAGGTAAGTTTGCTTCAGTAATTTTCTTCGAACCCCCTGTTTGCTTTGAAGAGTTAGCACAGTATAAGAATTTGTCTACAATCTGTTCCCAAGTACCAAAACCTAAAACTGTTTCTGGATTTGTTGAATTCATTGACGTATAAATAGAACCAACAGAATATATGGTTTGAAGAATCTGGGCCTTCATTGTTAGAAGTTCATGTTTAACGTTTATAGCTTTATTGCCTTCTACAATATTTATATTGTTTGTTATTAAACCATTAGGAAAAAGTAGGAGGATAAATTCTTTGTTCTTGTACAGTTGCACCGTTTCTTCTGTTTTTGTTACTATTTCGATGCATGCTTTAATTTCTTTAATCTTGATTGTTTGAAATTCTTCATGTGTATGGTTCTTGTCGGCTTTTCCATTAAGCGCAGCATTTACTTCCGACTTCTTTGTATTTTTCATCTACATAAGTTTTGTCTGCTTTCTTATCTAACATTGCTGGTAGTTCGTATGCTTCAAAGTTTCTGGCATGACCTTCAATGTTCATACATCTGTTATCTAAATTGTTTAGTGTATCTTTTACGCTTGTACTTGGATTCTCTAAAGGTGCACTTGAACCAAGGGTATAGTTCAATATTATGTCGTCTGCTCTAACAGTAGTGAAGGATTCGTTTGTATGGTTCTTGTCGGCTTTACTGTCTAATGTAGCTTGAAGTTCATTTATATCGGAGATGTTGTGTTTATGAGATTTCAAAACTTTGTTCATTGCTTCGAGTTCAACTTTGTCAGCTTTACTTTTAATAGCATCTTCAAACGTTATTTTTGACTTAACTCTCAAAGTAAATCTTGGTTTCAACTAATACACCGTTAACATTGAAAGTAGAGGCATAAATTTCACCGGTATAACCAAATGCTTCTGGTGCTTTAGCTACATCATACTGTACAGTACAGCTTATGTCATAACCTTTAGCACGAATGTATTTATATCTTCTTTCATTAACATTTTTTGTCTTCGCTTCATCACTTCGTGTTAAATATCCATGGTAGTCGTTATAATCTGTTCGTCTGAAGTTATATAATGAACGTGGTTCTTGACTTTATCACTCAGAGCTAAAAGCTCATTTTTGTCTGCTTTTTCGGCTAATTTCTCATTAACATCATTCACTTCTAATTCAACTCTTCCGCCAGAACTCTTATTATCATTAATCTTTTTCATTAATTCGGTAATTACGTCATAAAGACTATATTCTGTTTTCGGTTTTGTAAATAATGAGTCAAAATTTCTTTTCATCATTACATCGCTGACATTAATGATATCACCAATTCCTTTTTTCATTTTTCTCTTCATTAATTCTGCAATAATGACGAATATAAATCTGTTAATTTATTCTCTTCATCGAGGATTATAGAATGTTTTGAAATTGAATCATTAACTCCTCTAAATAAATCAATAACTTCAGGATACACGTTTTTAATGTCTCGAATAACCCGACCAGTATCCTGTTGTTCATGTTCTTCGTTCCCGTCGTTACGTGGTTTTATATCTCTAACCATCATCAACGCAGCCATAACCGGAGGATTTGTTGCTATCTGTTCGAAAATCTGACCGTTATGTATGGTATATCTAAATAATTTCTTTGTGTTTGTTAAAACATTTGAAACAAGTCTTTTAAAACCATCTACAAAATTTCCTGTTTCACCTAATGTTCTTGCAGCATTTACAAGCTCACCCATTCCCGCTTTTGACCCCAAAAACGTCCATATTGCATTTATTTCACTCTGTATAGTTGTCCATTCAGCGAAACTAACACCCGCATTCGCTAAGCTGAAAATGAAATTCAGTGGATCGAACTTAATTCCACCTTCTTTTTCAATTTCAACGAACTCACTAACATGAGATTTTAAATATTCTTTCGTTAAAATTGTTTTCCCCGATGTTATGTCATTAACGAAACTATCACCGTCAAAAGTTAACGAATTCAATTTCGTCGTTGATGCTTTTATTTCATACACCGCTTTATCGATAGTTTTTGGCTCACCTTCTTTAGAAGCATATGAAACATTAATGAATGAATTATATGTATTCGTGAATGAATTAAAATCAATGATTTTCATTAATGACGCCTTTAATGATTCATTTACTGTCGAATCCCTTAAAGTAATTAATGAACTGTCATTTATGAAAGGTACACTGCAAACCGTCGAGTTTGGATCAAATGCTGTAGTTGGTGCAGGAATATTAATGATATAAGTCATTAAATCATTAAGTGACGTAAATAATGTTGTCGTTTTTGATTTAATTTCTTTAGCATCTGTTATATATGGTAATTTTATTTCTGTAGTTTCTGAATTAAAGATATTCGCTAAAATGTTTTGTAAACTGTTTTGAACAGCTGTGTAAACCGTTGAATCCGGAACTCTTACGATTTCACCGTCCTTAATAAAAGGCATTGCACATGGTGTAGTGCTTGGGTCAAATCTTTTTGGGTTATGATTCAACATATATTCTAATGCTTCATAAACAGACCTATATACGGTTGTATTATCTTTTTCAATAATTTCACCGTCCTTTATAAACGGCATAGTACATGGAGTTAAAATAGGGTCAAACTTTTCATAGTCCTTCCATGTTATGTATTTCTCAGTATTTCCATCAGTGATAACAATATATTTGTCAGTAAGTGTGAGAGAGTATTGACCAAAATATAAACGTTTAGCTCTGTCAGCTTCATACGCATATGCAGCTATACTCATATTTTAATGAGAATAAAATGTTGTTCTATTTGCAAAGTACAGACCCAAACGAATACGGGACAGTAAAGCTACAAACAAACTTAGGTCTACAGAATGAGGCGCTTGCATTCAGAATGGTTGACTTCAATACTATCGCTTCATTCGTTATAACAGATGAAACAGATTTCATGGAGATTGAAATAGATGGAAAGAAGCACGAAATAAGATTTCACAATAATGTAGAATATAAGATGGAAACATTAGCTGGAGTGTTAAATGCTCTCATAAATACTACAATAAACAAGGATAACGAAGAAAACTTAATGAATGTTAAACTTATTGCAGGAGTTTTGAAGTTCAGTTATGCGAAGGAGTTTAAGATACCAAGAATGAGTCATAGAGTACAACTTCTTTTGGGTGCATACCATATGACATTTCCTTTGAAAAGTGTTGACAAAACGATTGAGAGATGAAATCTGTTCCATACGTATGTTATGGTAATTGTTTGTACATTGAGTCTAAAATAGCTAATGTCACAGGCATTTCAGGAGTTAATAGTAAAGGTTCAGTAGAATATAAATCCTTCTGTTATGCAGTCAATTCAATGTTCATTCCAAACGTTCCTGTCATAGCAACTCATTTAGGTAAATGGGTTCGCATTAGTCCTCATAATTTGAAAGACATGCAATTCAGACTTGTTGACTTTCAAGGAGAGCCTGTAGAACTGAAGGCACCAGTGCGAATGACTGTTGAAGTTGACTTTTTAGAAAATATTAAATGCAACAGCTTACAAGAGAACTCAGAGCTAAAAATATAAAGTATGAATGTTATGTATTAGGTCATGAACTTTGGTTGTTGCTGTTTGATGAAACAAATGAATTAGTTATGTCAGTCAAGAGAACAGAAAAATATTGTGTTAGTGAAAACTGCACCAAGTCAATAAGATTAGGTTTGCATTATGAAGATGAGTTCGATACTGTTGAAGAAGTTTTGGATAGATATTACAAATTGCTTTAATTTACTAAAACATATTTCAAGCAAAGTTTATATTCTGTTGAAAGTTTTGTATACTCGTTCGAATATTTATACTTAAACTCAACTCCTGTAGTTCCTGGTGTTTCAATGATGCGGATGTTACCTATTTTCATGAATGGTGGCGATTTGACCACAGCATTCGATTTCAGGGTCGAGATAGTCAATGACACATTGTTTCCCTGTTATTCGTGAGATAACATTTTCAAGGTCCTCCTTTGTTAGAATTATTTGGTTCTTGCTTATAAGATTTTACCAAAAGCTTCTTATCGTCTTTGAGTAAAATTGTTTGGTATAACTGAAGAAGGTAATGGTCTACGTTATCTGAAGGATTTGTTTGAACATTTGTGTAAGGGTTGTCGTTGGCTTCTCTTGAAAGAATTTGGTCCAGTGGTGGATACTCTAACTTAACATCTGATGTAGCGTTAGCGTTTGAAGCTGAGTTTAAATTCACGGATTTCAGCTCTGGTTCTGGTTCTTTCAAACACTCTGAACTATAGTTCTTTATGACAATATTGTTTGTCGTTCGTGAGTCAACATTTGATGTTGGTTCAATTGGAACATTAACGGCACCAGCTAAGATGGATTTGCTTCTCATTTCATATAGAATAAAAACCTTTTATATGTATGAAATGAACAATATACTCGACAAGGGTTTGAATGTAAAGCTAACGAATGAAAATATTGTTGAATTCACTGAGACAGGTGCTGTGTATAAAGATGTAGAACTACTGAACAAAAGAGCTAAGGGAAGAAGCAGGAACATGAACAAAGGGTGGAAGCCTATAAAAATTTATGTCAATGATGGCTCAGGAGGTTCAAACATAAAGTATGCAGAAAGTTATAGAGTTTATGCTCTCAAAGGTGAAAAGCCTTCATTTAAGAACAGCTATTCTAACGCATATCCTCAAAAGCTAACGGATGGGGAAGTGGATGATATGAATGACAGCAAAAATATTAACAGAAATGGCGACAGAGATGCATGGAATTTGTTTACCATCAGTCAATTGAAGGTTAAACTTTAAAACAATGTTGGTCGTTCCCATGGAATATTTTTGACTTTAATGGTATTAGTCATGATATGAATCTCAAGGTATGAACGAGGAGAGATGAGAGACTTATATGCTTCCCAAATTTCTTCAAAAGGTAATGTTATACCTGACTGTTTCCAAATGAGTTCAATATCATAGCGTGAGAAACCTTGAAAGATAACGAAGTCAGTTATGAGACGTTTTATGTTTAAAGCTAAAAACCTCCATGTTTGCATAAGTATTGCTACAGTTAAAGTGGTAATGTCTGACTTTAGTAATGATGTTAGCTAATGGTGAGTCTGGCTTTGACACTAAACCTTTTCCGGCGAAGTCGTCACAAACTAATAAAGTGTTTGAGGATATTTTTTGAAGGGGTATTTTGAAAGTTTTGACAGAATGTAGTTTGTAAGTCGTTTCATATCGTAAACTCCTGAGTATTGACGTAAGTGGTGTTTGTCAATAATTCTTTCCATCTCCTCAGAAGTCTTTTGCATTCCTGACTGTATAAATTCAACGATGGCATAATATTTCCTCTTACGTCGAATGTAACGTTGAAGAAATTCAATGAGTTCACTGTCTGGAACTTTAACGACAGAGGCTTGAACTTTTGACATAAATGTTTTCGCTGTTGAGTCCATAGAGTCTGAAGTTGCTGATATAATGATTTGGTCATAATATGAGTCATTTCCTAAACGTTCTGTTATGAGTATATGACGAATGAGGTTAAATGTCTTACCTGAACCCATCTTTCCACAATAGAAATACACACCATTTGAACAGAACTCATAGTCCTTACTGAAAGGAAGAATAAGAGAAGAGTTAAGTTTGTCTGTAGTTTCATTCATGTCTTCATCTACGTCATGTATTAAATGCTTCATTTTATCTCCATTAAAAATGCAAGTCAGAAATATTCAGAACATAGCACCGAGTCTAACTGACAAGAGTATAAAGATATACTATGAACATGTTATGATGAAACCAACCAAAATTCAAGAAAGTCAGTATACTTATGAATATCCAAGACACTGGGTAGAGTATGTAGGAGGTGAGAAAGCTATTGAAATCAGACAGGTTCGAAGTATTCCAGCAGGAAGAACAATATTATTGAAGAACTTTAATGTTTTGAGATATAATGATGAAACAAAGAAGCAAGATAGTTTCCCTGTTGCTGTGTATGTGAACTTAGATACAGGAGATGACATGAAAGTTTTTAATACAAAGCTTCAAACGGTAGTGAGAGAACAACTGACTGCGGAAGGACATCCATTACCTTCAGAAGTTACCATAGCATATAATTTTGAAACAAACTCAATAGATTTTAAAGTCATCTCTGCAAAGAAGTCAGGTTTTACATTTAATGAAGCAGATGTATATTCGAATGAAAACTTCAAAGCTATTGCATGGTTAGATAATGACGATTGCTTTAAGAAAATATTTAAATACAGTGACTCAACGATGTCAATAGATGACCTTCGTGGAATGTTACCATCGACGTTTACAGTAGAAGGTTCAGCAGGATTGCTTACAAGATTGTCAATTGGTGGTATTTGGTCTCGTGAGAACATTGTTATAAAATCCAGTATAAGTGAATTTGCTGAAGAATCTATATTATGTCTTTCAAACTACATGTATTCGCCGCCGAAGCATTATAGTATAACAAACTTTGTCAGTAAGTTTAACATAAGACTTGTCGAACCTTCTTCAATGAAAGATGTTGTGCTACCTAAAGATGGAAAGGATGGACTCATTATTGAGATGATTTTAATAGCATATTAAATGAGCTTGTTCTTGAAGGTCATTCATGATGAAATAACTGTTGTAGAAGATGTTAGCAATTGTTCAGACATTTTGAAGCGTATAGATGAGATAAGAAAGAAGTTAGATAGACCGCAAAGCGGTGAGGGCGAAGCCCGTGAGAACGTTATGTTTCATTGACTTTCTCCAGTAACGAGAACTTTTATGAGATAATATTGAAGAGAGATGATTTTAATATGGTGTAAATGGTAGCTTGGGCAGCTTTAGGCGCAATGGGAACAAAAGCATTAGCATTTGGAGCAAAAGCACTTGGAGCTTATGACGCAGTAAATAAAATGAGTGGAGGAAGGGTTTCGAAGACATTAGATGCAAATAAAGGAAGATTGGAGGCTGGGTTGCAAAGAAGTTAAGATTAAATAAAATAGGGCTCATAAATAAAGCATCCAATTTGGTTGCGACTGAGTCAGAAAATGCTTTAGGAAAGGACGATGAGTTTGCAAAACACGCAAAAGACTTTAATGACCAGATGAAAGGTGAAACAATGCATTTAAATAGATCGATGGAACTAAAGAAAATGTTTCTTCTCCACCAGTAGTTCTTCCGTATGGTCCCTATGGAATGTATGGAAACCCTTATGAACGACCATTTGACCCATTGACTGGTGGAAGTAATGGTATCATTACGGCGAAGAAGAAAGACAGTCAAGTTGGAGACAGACGTGAAGAAAGCAACTAAAAAGAAACCAAGGAAGAGAGTTATAAAGCAATGAATTCAACAGGGTGAAAAAACAGGTGAAAAAAGAGGTGAGATCTCACCACTTCACCTAAATTTATTTTTGTGCTATGTTTTCATACGTGTGAGGGTGGTGATATCATTAATTTTTAAGTTTATTTTTATTTTATTTTTTATTTTAATTTTATATAAATGACAGAACAAAAGCAACTCATTCGAATTCCACAGTATAACAAACATACATTTAAACATTTATTCTTCCTTCCTGAACATAACATGTTCTTTCAAATACATCCGAGACCAGTTGACTTTTCATTGACTGTGTATAAAGATAGAAATAGTTATATCATTAAACCATACGATGACGAAGGTAAGTTATGTAAATTGTACGTTAAGAAGTTAGAGAAAGTTTATGGCTTCAAGTATGACTACAATAGGGTTAACACTGATGATGAAGATATTGAGGAAAATTTATGAGAACATTAGTGAAGTCGTTAGTGAGAACGATAGTGAGAACGTTTATTTTTTACATTAGTGAGTTCGTTAGTGAAGTGGTTGGCGGCTTTGTAAATATTTAAGGTTAAGTTAGTGTTGTCGTTTGTGTTGTAAAATATACGTTAACGGTTTTGTAAAGTGTCAAACCATTATCTTGGGTAAGGTGGAACGCAGTGCCACCATAACCAAGATAACTATACTAACTAATGTTTTGTTATGATTTCATCGTAAATGCTTTGTCATGATTTCATCGTAAACACTTTGTCAAAACTTCATCGTATATGTTTTGTCATGACTTCATCGTAAATGTTTTGTCGAAACTTCTTCGTAAACACTTTGTCAAAACTTCTTCGTAAACACTTTGTCAAAACTTCTTCGTATATGTTTTGTCAAAACTTCATCGTATATGTTTTGTCATGATTTCTTCGTAAATGTTTTGTTATGATTTCTTCGAAACTAAACATAAACACTTTGTCAAAACTTCTTCGTAAATGTTTTGTCGAAACTTCATCGTAATGAGTGTAAATGACCCAAAAATAATGTTTAGGTGAAGAGGTGAGATCTCACCTGTTTTTTCACCCTTGTGAATTTACACCAAAAATAATGTTTGTCATGATTTCATCGTATATGTTTTGTCAAAACTTCATCGTATATGTTTTGTCATGATTTCTTCGTAAATGTTTTGTTATGATTTCTTCGAAACTAAACATAAACACTTTGTCAAAACTTCTTCGTAAATGTTTTGTCGAAACTTCATCGTAATGAGTGTAAATGACCCAAAAATAATGTTTAGGTGAAGAGGTGAGATCTCACCTGTTTTTTCACCCTTGTGAATTTACACCAAAAATAATGTTTGTCATGATTTCATCGTAAACACTTTGTCAAAACTTCTTCGTAAATGTTTTGTCAAAACTTCATCGTAAATGCTTTGTCAAAACTTCATCGTAAATGCTTTGTCAAAACTTCTTCGTAAATGTTTTGTTATGATTTCATCGTAAACACTTTGTCAAAACTTCATCGTAAATGCTTTGTCGAAACTTCATCGAAACTATACGTAAATGTTTTGTTATGATTTCATCGTAAATGTTTTGTCAAGATTTCTTCATAATGAGCGTAAATGACCAAAAAATAATTCATGAGGGTAGATATCAGGTTATATCTAATCATCTACCCTAAAATATATTTTAGTTAAAGTCCATCAAATATTTTTAGGATACTTTCACCAAATAATGTTTATATCAGATGAAACAGTAAAGTATTATATCTATTAAATCGTCTATGATGTAAATTGTGTATAGAATGAAATGAGGGTAGAATGTGTATATCTAATGAAATCATAAATGAAATAATAATTTATAAAGAAATGAAGGGAAACATTCAGCAATACTTTACTGTTTCATCTGATATAAACATTATTTGGTGAAAGTATCCTAAAAATATTTGATGGACTTTAACTAAAATATATTTTAGGGTAGATGATTAGATATAACCTGATATCTACCCTCATGAATTATTTTTTGGTCATTTACGCTCATTATGAAGAAATCTTGACAAAACATTTACGATGAAATCATAACAAAACATTTACGATGAAATCATAACAAAACATTTACGTATAGTTTCGATGAAGTTTCGACAAAGCATTTACGATGAAGTTTTGACAAAGTGTTTACGATGAAATCATAACAAAACATTTACGAAGAAGTTTTGACAAAGCATTTACGATGAAGTTTTGACAAAACATTTACGAAGAAGTTTTGACAAAGTGTTTACGATGAAATCATGACAAACATTATTTTTGGTGTAAATTCACAAGGGTGAAAAAACAGGTGAGATCTCACCTCTTCACCTAAACATTATTTTTGGGTCATTTACACTCATTACGATGAAGTTTCGACAAAACATTTACGAAGAAGTTTTGACAAAGTGTTTATGTTTAGTTTCGAAGAAATCATAACAAAACATTTACGAAGAAATCATGACAAAACATATACGATGAAGTTTTGACAAAACATATACGATGAAGTTTTGACAAAACATATACGATGAAATCATGACAAACATTATTTTTGGTGTAAATTCACAAGGGTGAAAAAACAGGTGAAAAAACAGGTGAAAAAACGAAGAACTTTTGCTCTTTTCGAGTAAATTTACATTTTTCGTTCAATAAAGAGTCAGAAACTACAAGCGCATTACCTTGGAGTAGAATTCCTCCGAAGCCTCTCATTGAATGGGAGACTTCGGAAGGACTCTACTCAAATTGTAGTTTCTTTAGCCTTTTGTAGACCAGGGAGCCGTAGTGAGATGCTTTAGGGCCAAGCTCTTCCGAAGTCTCTCATGCAATGAGAGGCCTCGGAAGAACTTGGCCCTATTCTAGTAATTACGAAGTATCTGACTTTTTAGGAGCGAGAGAGTAGTAGTATAAGTGAATGCGTGCAATAACGTATAACTAATATCGCTAGAAGCACAATAATTATGCGGCCTAGCTACTATACCCTAGCAACTAGGCTGCATAATTACTGTGCTTCTGATTTGCAGGGCTCTTATGGAAGACCAAGCGGAGGTCTGATGCTGAAACCACTTGCTGGTATGGATGAAGCAGCACTATGATTGGTCAGAACAAAGGCTGCACATCATACCAGCAAGGGATGGTTGAGCGTGACTCCAGCTATGGTCTTCCATGCAGAAATGACACTTTTGCGTTTTTGGCGGGAAAGTTTTGAGCAGTTGCTTTGAGCTAGCCCATTCTTACTACCATTACAACACATTCATACTGCAAGTATAGAATTTAACTTTTTTAGGCAAAATTTCAAATTTCTAATTTACCCAGATTTGCCTTACTTTTACCACCTCTCTAAAGCTG